ATCATATTGCCAACTTTTTTTTTTGTTATGCGGTCATATTACCAACTTCTTTCTTTCGTTACGTGATCATATTATCAACTTCTTTCTTTCATTACATGATCATATTACCAACTTCTTTCTTTTGTTATGTGATTGTGTCACCAACTTCTTTCTTTTGTTACGCAATCATGTTACTAACTTCTTTCTTTTCCTACACGGTCATATTATCAACTTCTTTCTTTCATTATGCGGTCGTATTATCAATCTCTTTCTTTTGTTATGTGATTGTGTTACTAACTTCTTTCTTTTGTTATATAATCGTATTACTAACTTCTTTCCTTTATTACGCAATTGTGTTATCAATATCTTTCTTTTGTTATGTAATCGTATTGCCAATTTCTTTCTTTTATTATGTAATCATATTATCAATTTCTTTCTTTCATTATGTGGTCATATTACCAATTTTTTTCTTTTGTTATGTGATTGTGTTACCAACTTCTTTCTTTTGTTATGCGATTGTGTTATCAACTTCTTTCTTTCATTATGTGGTCATATTATCAACTTCTTTTTTTTATTACGCAGTTATATTACCAACTTCTTTCTTTTGTTACATAATTATATCATCTTTGTTATGCGATCATGTTACTAACTTCTTTCTTTCTCTACGTGGTCATATTACCAACTTCTTTCTTTCGTTAAGCGGTCATCGATTATATCTTCAATGATACTAAAAAACTTTAACAATAAGAATTCATGCAAATTCAATATCAATCTATGGTCTCTTAACCAAAATTTCCTGCATAAAATTTCATCCAATCAAAATTTTCAGGTTGATCTGAACCAGTCAGATTATATCAGTTCAGGTCCAAGTACAACCTGACCCGAACCCGAACCTGACCCAGTTTTTTGCAGATTGAAAAATCGTGACCTGAACCAGGATTTTTGGGTCAGGTCCGGATCAGGTTTCAGATTGACCTGAACTGGTTGAAGCATTAGGTGATAATGATAATAGTGGATGAAATGATCCGGAGGATATGGAAGCTGAAATTAAGCTCTATCGAAGATTAAAAGAACTTGACTTAGTATAGAGAAACAATAGTTAATTAGAAAGAATGAAATAAGAATCATATATGATAGGCAAGATATCAAAGTCAACCTATTATGATAAATATGATCCAAATAGCTCATTAACTAAAGCAGTAGCTGGCACCAAAAAAATTATGAGTTTTTTAAGATTAGCAATATTCAAGTTATTGATTCAAAATTATCTAAGTCTAGCATATTAAAAGATGCTTCAAGTAATTTAAAAAGTGAGATTATTAATCTGTATACTTATTAAATATCTGAAAAAATAAAAGAGTTAAAAGAGTATTTAGAAAAACATGCTCAATTAACTGTCTTCAAGTATAATAATAAAAGAGTCATCTTTGAATATCTTATCATGTTAAATGCTAATGGCTGTGGAAGAATTGGTATTAGTTTAGAGATCATTCAAAAAATTTTTATTGATGATGGTGTGTGGAAAGCACAAAAAATTCAGAATCTTACAAAGTACTAGTTAGAGTTCTGAAAAAATTTTGGTTTAGTTTGAGTCTGATTCAGTTCAAGCTTGAACCAAACTTGAATCTGATGAAAAGCCTGGTTTAAAAATTTGAACCTAATTAAAAGTCTGGTTCAAGTTCAGTTTGAATTTTGAATCTGACTCGAACCTGATCAAAAGTTCAGTTCGAGTTTAAGTAAATGTTTGTTGATGTTCTAAGTAAAGTTATAAATCATAACATGAGTTACAAATTGATATAAGATAGTTAATATTTAGAATGAATATTTAAGAAGTTATATGAATTTAAAAAATAATTTTAATTATTATAATTTTAATCTACTTTAGTTTTAGTATAATAAACATTTATTTTGTTATAGTAATTATAAACTATGATTATAAGTAATATTGTAATTAGAAATAAGAACTACAAATTGGTATAAGATAGTTATCAGAGAGTTATATAGCATTTATGATCAAATTTAATAAACATAAAAATAAAAATACTTTAGTTATCATTATATAAACTTTTAATTCTTATTAAACATCATAAATTGTGCTTATAAGTAAAAATATTAAAGTTGTAGCTTATATTTAGAGCTATAAATCAGTATATAATACTATATGTTGATCTTTAATCGAACTCGAACCAGACTTGAACTCGTATAATGATTTAGTTTGAGTTCAGTTTGAACCTTTCTTGAACTCAAGCCAAAGTCTGGTTCAAGTTTAGTTCAAATTTTGAACTGAACTCGAACCTGGGCAAAAGTCCAGTTCAGTTCAGTTTATAGGAACACTAATACTAAGCTGCAGATATTTATAGTTTTGGAATGATTGTGTATGAAGTTGTAACAGGTGAACAACCATTTGGTGAGCAGAATCATGATATATGTCTTATAATTGACATCTATAATAAAGTACAACCTATAATACCAAATAATGTTCTTGGTGATGCAAATTTATTATTGAAATATTGAGATCTAAACAGATCATCTGTGAAGGAACTTTGCAACTTTATCAACTCTATCTGCTTTACAGATATCAACGATGAGAAGTGGAAACTGAATATTTTGTATTTTCAGTACTATAGCATTTTAGAATATCCTAAACAGATGAAGAAATCAAAGAGTGCCTTAAACTATAAAGACAGAGACTAAATGAAGTGAGATATCAGAAAAGCTTTTCTACAATGCAAACAAAAAACGACAAATTCAGCCAAAAGCAGTTTACACTATTCGAAACTTTACTGACACAGAACTTTCTACTTCGACACATAAATCATATGAACATTTCATATTAATTGAGAATTTCAACGAATATTTAAGGTTTACAAGTGTCAGTTGGTATGTTCCGGACGAAGGTAAATTTACTACATGTATTTAATATTAGTTTTTCAAAAAATATAATATCAGTATTAAAAATACTTGTTTACTACTCTAGAATATGTTACTACTGGACTTAATATAGATATTGATGCTGAGTCTATAATAACAGCTTATGTGCTCAAATAAAGCAAATAAAGGTGAATTTTATTGGTTATTCTACGACTGTGCACAGTAATGGATTATAATTTTCGCTTGTCAGTATATGTCTCACAAGAGTTTAATATAGATTGAGAATAATAGAAAAGATGCCGAAAGAAAAACACTGCGTGAGTTTTTTTTTCGTTAATAGCAACAGAGTCTCAACGTTTTAAAATATCATAATTCTTTCAATAGAGACGAAGAATTCTGTGGTAAAATTTAAGTAGTCTTGAGAATATTTAAAAGTTTTATTCCATTAAATATTTTTGTTTGTATTTAGCGACGATTCCAGATGATATTTCATGTAATTATTAAGCAAGTTGTATTTTTCCTTTGATAAAAATCAATATTAATATACTAAGACACTTTTTTGCGTGTATCGCTAGCATATGTGATTAATATCGATATTGATGCCGAATCTACAAGTGCCAGTTTATATGTTCAAAACGACAAAATTTATTACAAAGGCAATTTGAACTTGAAAAGGAATGAAAATTATTGAACGAAATGAAATTTAAAAATTAGAATTAGAGAATAATAATATTATTTTTATGCTAATTCTTACATTTCTGTATTTACTATTGCCATTAAAGTTAACGCAGACATAATTTTTATTATTATCATTTTTTTTGCTATTATTTTATAGTTTTAAATAAATATCTGCATGCATCCATCTATAAAACACAACATATATTAATTCGACCACTCTTATTTCAGCTTTTAAAATCCCGCATAAACCTAATAATGATGGTAGTATTTGTAAACTTTATTTTCTCTTGCCGCTAACATACAAAATTTCTTAAGTGACAAATATTTAATTATGCCTTCATTTTCTATAATACATGCTTCAATTCGATCAGGGATACTTAATAGCTCGTTTATTATTGCTATTGAAGATATAGCTATAATTTTTACATTTTTTAATTATAATCACAAATTTCCACAGAATCTTTTATCCCGCAAAATATATAAATAATAAATTCTTTAAATAACAAGTAGATTTTTTGCTTATAGATACGTCCTAGTAAACCTTAAATATAAAAAAATTCGAATACACTAAAATCAAACAATAAATTATAGAATATATTGTTTCAAAATCAAAAGATTCAACCAGCCTCCTGCCCGATCATGACAATTTTCGTGTGCTTTTCGATACACTTTTTAATACCATGTCGAGATCTATTGGAATTCCGAATCCATATTGATAAAAGTCAGCCAATTTGAATTGAGAGATATTCAATCTACACACCCCTACAGTATATTTTACCGGAAATTTCAAAAATGAATTTGTCACTTTGTAACCCGATGTCGAGATATCGGGTTACAAAGTGACAAATTCATTTTTGAAATTCTGCTGATTTCTGAAACACGAAAATGCTTTGTGCAAATCTCTATTGCATCCACTGTATACTAACATCTATAAGTTTGAATAGTTCAGAATATCCATCTATTGATAATTTCAAAACAATTCAAATGCGTTTTTTTTATTGAGTTGCGTTCTTATAACAATTACCGAGATTAAATTGTCCTCTAATATTCCCACTCTTAGCTGATTTCAAATATCACTCAAATGCTTTTTTCTCGTCTTTTTGAGTTCCGATTCTATTTTGATATAACAAATCAAAATTAGATTGTTCCCTAGATCATAAAAAGCTACATGTTCTCCACTATATTGAAACTAGACTTACCTGGCCGCAATTAATTTAGTCAAAACCACCACCGACGATAACGCTAAATGTTAACGACGACGATAATGACACAAAAAGATGTTCAGCCGAAGAATTAGGCAAAAAGAGCCCGGAGTTACCACGTATTTCAATCACGGAATAACACAAAGCAAAAAATTTCCAAATTAAGATAAATAACGAATAATAAATTTCAAAGTTAAACCACCCATAGTGAAGACTAATTAAATTCATCGATATAGTAGATTTACTAATAAATTCTCGTTAGTTGTGTCCTCATTTGTTTGGCCAGTTGTTGGAGCCTCCATCTAGATTTTTCGTGATAACATTACCGTTATCATTATTATTACTTGGTCGTCGTGAATTCTTCAGGTTGTCAGTGCCGTTTTGGTTAGAAGCGTTGGTGAGCGGAAGTTTGCTGCCTTTTACCGGTCGTAGGTCTTTTCTTCCAACTTTTGCCCTTGTTGCTTGTTTTGCCATTTTGTGGCGAATTCCGAGTTTCTTTGGTAGGAGCAGTTGGGTTTCCTTGGTTATCACCGGTGATTTTTCTTCTCGTTTTGGCGCTGTTCCGCAGAATGGGCAATTTTCTATCAGAAATGCCACAACTTGTGGTCTAAACACTCAATACAATATAATGGTTTTGATGTTCCTTTTTGCTGTTCTGGGGGAGGATTCTGTCTGGGAACGAAGCAAAGGTTCTGAAGGGAGGAGGGAATATCTGACGGTTGCTGTTAGAAAGTCACTAAGCTCTCTCAGGCTTTGTGCTTCGACTGCAGCTTACCTCGATAAGCAATAGCTTGTGATCTGAATAAATTTCAAGTTTCGTTTAAACTCACATGTTTAAAATCGCGTGCTAATTATAATAAATCATGTGCTTTTTATATATCACATGCATCACGTAAAAACTGCTCACCACTAAACATGTAAAGGTCGTAAGCGGAATGATGATTCAATTGTGGTTTCATTAATAGTTAACTTGAATTATGTAATTTAATTTTCTTAAACTAGCGGAAAAATTTTCAAATGAAATGATTGAATGAAGGCATCAATTCTTGCTGAGAGATTCCGAGTGTCGATTTTTGTATAAATATATGGATTGCAATAAATTAACTGTTTAAATATCTTTTTCTACATGATTCACATACTAGGTCGAGCATTCGTTACTCCAGAATGACAAAATAACGTTATCACTTGAAAAAGATGTTAGTATTTGAAATAACAGATTTAAGGGAATTATCATAAAAATGACTAAAGCAGATAGATATAGGACAATGAACGGCGCAAACTCAACGCGAGACAACGCCACAAAGCAAAAAATTTCACAAATGTACGCAATAAACAATACAGTACAGTCAAGTCTTGATGCAACCAGGGACCTTGGTACCAAGCAA